AGGCTCTGAGTGACCTCAAGACAAGCTCTGTTTGGTTGCTTACGACCATTGTGTCTGATACGTGTGCGCATTTTACAATTACGATTCGTTTTAGTTCACTTTTAGACAGTTATTTAAAAACAAAATTCAACAGAAAACGTACACCGTAAATTTAACTTATAAATTTGGGGTAAAAACTAACAATTCAACCAAGTAAATTTGCCCCTCAACCCTTCAATTAAAATGCTTAAGATAATTTTTTGCTGTTAATCGTAAATGTGTATTAAATGACTGCTCCCAGATGTTATTTGCCGGCAGTAATATCTTTTTGTCCAGCAACGTAGTTCCGGTTCGTAACACTCAAAAATGCGCCCGAAACTGCAAAAATATTTGCTTTGATTCTTGTGTTATATAAATAGTATTATTTAAACAATGATAAAATCTGACAATAACCAACGGTTTACTTTACGTTTGATGCTTCACAGCTGTTTTGATTGACGAAGCTTGCTAGAGGCATAGATCAAGGCCTTTGAGACCGGGTAGTTACTATTCATGAGCAACGGATGAAAATTGAAATCGCAGCGAGAGCAACTTCGAAATGAACGGGAGATGTGTTGACAGCTGACGTCACGCAGCAATCTTCATTTCGAATCTTCGAGTTGTTCGTTGAAAGAAGTTTGGCTTGCATTGTGCTAGCTTTCCGCCAGCAGTTGAGAGGGCTAGCAACGTCAAGACGGCTACGTTTGCGCAACAAACTTAGTCACTTTGTTTCTCCCTCAGGTGCACTTAGTAACGACCGACGCAAGCACGACATTTGCCGTAAACACCGAAAGATTCCGAACTTGTTTTCGTTTAATAATGATCATCATTTACTCGAGTTTCGAATCATCCTTGGCAAATGCCTTTAGCTTAAAAAATTAGCTATCTTCATGTTGTTTTTTTCAGACTTCGATTTAATGCGATAAATCAGAGCAGAGTGGTGTTTAAATATGACTAGTAACATTATTGATTAAACGGTCATTGGTATACCAAATCAGAATGAAATGATCGTATTTTCCTCTCACGAAACGGTGTAAAAACCAATAAAATTTTTTGAGAAATGGGGTCAGACTCCGAGAGCGATAATAATAATAATGATATTGTAAATGATCAAGCTAAACTTGGCAAAAGAGGTTAGGCGCTTGATATTAAGTACAGCAGTAATGAAAAATCGATGATAAAATGGAAAAGTTCGGAAGTTTCATGCTTCGAGTAAAGTAGTGGGATGGCACTGCTGAATACCTGGATATTCAGATTCACGTAGAATTGCAGGTCGATATGAATGGTGCAAAAAGGCGGTAATATGCTGACGAATCATGTGTTCAGAGAGACGAAACGATTAGTTCAGGCAGCTACACTGAAAACTTGTACCGTGTTAAATTTTTCATTATATCAGTGAAGAACCAGTAAGACGACTACGTAAAAAAACGTTAAAAGTCTGAAGAACTTTCAAATTATCAGCGTAATTTCGCAAAACTTCGTTTCTGCATTTATGTATTTCACTAAGATGAATGATCTGTCTAGCTAGTGCATGCCCACAGTTATTTCAAACTAAAATAATAAACTGATAATTCATTCGTCGAAATCTAATAGAATGTTTAAAATGAATTTTGAACAGTATCACTAATTAGGGTAACATCGTCCGTATGATAATCAGTCTTCAATTACCCAGGAAGGTGAGCTTTCCTTCAGAGAGATAATCACTAAAAGCAGACTTTCTTCACTTTTATGAGTGGGTCATTTCGACATTACTCTAATGTTAGTAGTGCGGTACTGATCTTCGTTTCTGTGCTATCAGCCAGAAGCGGCTGAAATTTTTAAGGCATTGTACAACGTCTAGCAAGCGTAGAAGGTAGCCTCCTGTTTTCCTCCCAAAAGTGGTGCTCACGTATCAACCTCGGAAGGATAAAGCTCCAGCAGCCCCAATTAGGTCTTGAATTCAGGATATATTATAGGTTCGACATCCTACTGGCTGAGCAACCTTGGTCTGAAATGTTGTGGTAAATTCTTTGCTGAAGGAATTCCTGAATAAGACAGATATTGTCCTGCAGAGGAATCAATACCGACAGTTTGGCTGTTCGAGCCTTTTACACAACTGGCGATCACTAAAAAGTAAGCTTACAACAACGTCAGAATAAAGTGCACTGCCACTGAATGACTATGTGCAAACACATTAGCATGGGGCGAATAGGTATGCACTAATTATCTGATTGTTCAGTTCGATAATACATTTTCTTACTGGATTACGCTTAAGTCTGCATCGTAGCTACAGCCTAAATTGAAACACTTAGGACTTTAGGTGTGAATGCAAGCATGATGCTTCTAAACTAAATTTTAGGTATCGGCTTGGACGAATTACAATTATCGACGGTGACTAATACCAAACGCAAACTAGGCATATTATCGCACGGGTTAACGACACCAGGACTTTTGACTCTGCCTTAATGTCTCATTCGACTGCATTATTTTGCCTGGCATAGAAAACTTGTTGGACTTTCCTACTCCTAACCTTTCTTGCAGGGTCAGCTAATGACGGCAACGTTTGTGAAAATGACTTCGAACAATACACGAACGCAAACATATGAACAGTTTATACAAAGTAAAGGTAACAAAAATAAAGGATATATAATCCTGTATAAAAAGTATAAGTATAATGCTTTACAAAAAAGCGAAAAACAACGTTTCATTGAAGTGGTGACGATGCTCGGCTGCGAAACATTAATCAATCGTTTTCGGTCGCGTACGTGAAGCAAATGGTCGTCGCTTTGTGTTTCAAATCTTTCTTCTTTCTTTCATTTCTCTGTTCATCATCCCGGATTCGACCACACAAGGACAATGAATTTATAACAACCACACGGGATATCCGACTGCCTGTTCGATCAATCGCCAGAATTGCATTTTTAATGCAGAACGCGATTAAATGGGACGAAGGCAGAATAAGCACAGGACTTTACACCGGCGATGACGGGCAGAAGTGAAGAGTAAGTCAACCAGCAGGACGAAAACATATCACAGGACGTCATAAGGCCGCCACGGCCATATCTTGCCTGTATTGAGTGAACGGAGTAGAAGATGGATGCATCGTAAACAAGTACTACATCCGTAGATGTTCCGATGTACATCGCCCAAACCCAACATCTGAGCGAAACATAGAACTGCGAGCAAATATCTAAGGCTACGCTTAGTGAGAATACTAGTCGTGTGACAACGAAACAACCGAAGCACTTCAGACAAAAACTACAGCAGTAACTTTAGCTGATCGTCAAGTAGTTTTAGGTACCAACAGTAGCTACTTAAGCGACGATAGTGGCAATGGAGTCAAGATGATGTTCCACCGCAGATAACCGCTCCGCATCCTACAGGAAAACGCTCATCACGAAAGTGCAATAAAATAAACTTGTTCTAAATCTGTTTCTGCATACCTGATTGAAACTTTTGACCTTTCGGTCTTAAATACTCGTGATTGTAGAGCTGGAACACATCTGCCCTGTCCTCTTTGCGATACTGCAAACAGCACCGAATAAAAGCCTAAAAACAATTAAATAAAACTTATCTTCAAATAAAATTACATAGGCACAAATCTGAAGCCCGGATAGTATAAGAAACATGTGCAAAAGGAATCGCTGTCTGACCATTCATTACCATTAGCATTAAAGGGCACATCAGCGACAGGGGAGATTCCGAATTCAGAAACCTCAATTAAAAGCCACCATATGGGAAATGAGAATGAGAACTTCCTCCTACCAATACTATATCATTATATCAGTAGCAAGCTTAACGCCTGATCAAACTCCTAATAAATGGGTTCAGCATTAACTGACCAAGCTGTTCGCCATCCTATTCATTCATTAATGATGACCGATGCTGATTGAGTAAAAACGTCGGAATAA